AAGAGTAGATTGTTTACACACGTATCGGCATGTCACCAGCTTTGCAGAAATAACGATCAATTATGCAGAGCAGTTGTGTTCGGTTTACGATGAACATTAAACGATGACTTCAAAATGAGAATAAAGCACACGATTCTTAATGCCCAGGAAATTCCTTATTCCTTATTAGTATGCCTAACTCACAATCAGAAAGCCATGCGTTTAAATCCCAGTCAGAGTTTATCGACTCAGCCCATTGGGGTACTTCAATAATTGCTGATTTGTGAAAAGTCCAGAGTGGCTGTACTGAAGACAGATTGCTTCTCACCATAGGAATGTGGAATTTCCACAACTGGCTAAGATTTGCCATTGGAGATGAGCACTATGAATGCTTGGTTGAATGTCGCTAGTTACATTTTGGGCACCCTTACAGCAGAGAGATTAATATTCATAGCACTAATGTATGGGCAAGAGAATGATTACAAGTTTTAAATGCCCTGGTGTTTAATGGATAACATTAAATGCACCATACTCTCCATCATGAATTTATGAGCTGGAGTGCTAAATGGCCTTACTGGCCTTTGGCTTGTTGTGTTATTAGCAACATACGGGGCATTCATCTTTATCCCTCATTTACATCCAGCTTATATTCCACATGGCCAGATATAAATGGGATAACTCAACAGACGTTCTTGTTTTTTGTTTGTTAAAAGTATATTTAATGTTTGATTTATTTTATCGCGTATCATTTATCATTGTTCAATGCAGTACTGTATAGTTTTTGCATTTCACATAAAATCATGGAGAAGCCAGAATGAGACACAAGTAAGAAAACCATCATTCGTTGTGTCGATTACTTCCAGCTGTAAAGCAAATTCAAATAAAAATGTACAGTATTACAGTTCGGATCTTTTCAAAAGTGCATCTTTTTGTCAAATAAAAAACATTATCTTCAACAAATGCTACTTTGATGTGTGTGGTTGGACTGGAATACGCAGCACCTATTGTGACATGCGTGCACCATTACCATTCTATTGACCGCTCACTCTGTGGGTGTCTTATGCAAAATCCCATGCATTTTATAGTGAATACATTTTGTGTAGCTGAAAAATGAATTTGGACGCGTATTTATTAGGCTGGAGCTCCGGTTGAGACGTGGATTTATAGATGTTTGATGTTTTCTTGAATTTTACATTTATCATACAAACGAGTTTTGCATTTGTACTGCTGAATAATAGATCGCTGTCTCGTATTGCAATGATGGGATTGTTAAACACTTGAATAACACTCCTGCCAAAATAATGATACAGTGAAGTTCAGTGATATATAACATGCCATTGGATACATTTCCAGGCGTGTGGATTTCCGAGTAGTATTTATGCATGATATAGTTGGGTCCATAGAGTTTGTACGTATAAATATGAATGAAACTAGAAGTTTTTGACAGGAAGCGGTCTGCTGCTGCTATAGTAGCTCTCAATTACAAGAATAAAGGTCTCATCATAATGCATCTGCTATCCAAACATACAAAGAGCCTCATTAAAAAGTACTCATTCGTGTGTTGATGAAAAAAAGTCAGTTCTCACTAATTTGTTGGTGATACAATTATGAAATTGGCAAAAATTGGAGTGCTAATTGGGCCATTTCAATACAAATATAAACATCAACCACATCATTCACCTTTGTAGTAAATGTAGAAAACCTTAGGTGTTTCAAAGTAGTCTTAAAATCTATTTACAATTGAGTAAATTTAGGATAGCAACGAATAATGACACTTGAATACCTTGTGACATTTTAATAGTTTACAATTATGTCCAAATTCAGGTATAATAAGAGTAAATAAACTGGCTGTGTTTAATTTTGTATTAAAAACCCTTCTGATCTGAAAACCGAAACAAATTGTAAATATTCTTGGTTCTTTCGGTAAAGTCACGTAGAAGGGAAACAATAAAATAATAAAAATATAAAACAATAAAATTCTACGTGACTTTACCGAAAGAACCAAGAACATTAATCCCTGCAGTCACGAAAGCTTTAAATTAAAATTCAAATTGTAAATGGTATGGTATTTGCGCTATGTATACGATATTGAATTATATGCTCACTAGCGGGAAGTACCCGGCGTTGCCCGGGCGAAAAAGACACACACATATCAACTTACACACATACAGACATCGACCCACACACATAAAAACACATCGACTTACACACGCACATATGGACTCACACGCACAGACATCGACTAAGACACACACACACATGGACCCACGCACACACATCGACTTACACACACATCGACTCACACACACACATCGACCTACACACACACACACACATTTGGGCTTACACACACATATGGACTTACACACTCACATATGGATTTACACACACACATGGAAACACACACACACACACATCGACGTACACACACACATCGACAAACACACATCGACTCGCATCCGCACATAGAGCCACACACACATGGACTGACACACACATGGACTTACACACACACATCGACTCACACACACACACATGGACCCACGCACACACATCGACTTACACACACATCGACTCACAAACACACACATCGACCTACACACACACACATTTGGGCTTACACACACACACATATGGACTTACACACTCACATATGGACTTACACACACACATGGAAACACACACACACACATCGACGTACACACACACATCGACTGACACACATAGACTCACACACAAACACACATCGACTCGCATCCGCACATAGAGCCACACACACATGGACTGACACACACATGGACTTACACACACACATCGACTCACACACACACACATGGACCTACACACGCACACACAACGAAATGGACTTACACTGACTCACATGGAGCCACGCACACACATCGACTCTCACACACACATATCGACTCACACACACACATCGAATCACACACACACAAATGGACTCACACACACAGACACATCGACTTACACACACACATCGATACAGACAAGCACATCGACTCTCACACACACACATATTATTATTTTATAATTTACCAACTAAATTAGTTGACTACACACACCACGCACACACATTGACTAACACACACACGTCACTGACACCGATATCGACTCACGCACACACACACATCGACCTACACGCGCACACATCGACTGATACAAAGATAAAGATCCCCCATATAGCCTTAACAGACTGTAGGGGCAAGTGCTGTTAGCGAGCACCTATGAAGGCCGGAACGGTACACGAGGGGGTGGGTGGCCAGCACCACGCCCGACCGCCTTTGTCTCCCTAGTGACAATGTTTACACACCGCACCAGGTACTCATTTGAGGCTGAGTCGACCTAGGGGAGGCCCGGGACCGGTTCAGATAATCGTCACTGGTGTTGGCCGTGAGCGGGAATTGAACCCGGGTGGCCAGGTTCATAGCACAGCGCGCTAACTGCTACACTATCACTCCCCGACTGATACACACACACACACACACGGACATACACACACACATCGACGCACACAAATACATCGACTGACACACACACACATATCGACTCACGCATACACACATGGACTTGCACACACACACGGATATATACACACACATCATTGCAGACACGCACATCTCACACGCACACAAGGACTTAGACACACACATTATTAATTTAATATTTACCAACTGATTTTTTTTTATATTAGTTTTCTATCTACGTGAGTTTAGCGAAAGCAAGAAAATAATACTGACTTAACATTGCCGTGGTGAGGCCTAGTCCCATGCGGAGCCCCCGGCCTCGCCTAGATTGCCCAGCCGGCCGAGGTGGCATCTTTCAGGCTGGGGGCTGGGCCGCTACCCCCCCCCCCCACCATCCCCCTGCCCGCGCTACAATAAAACTGTCTAAGCGCTATAATATTAGTATCTACCGACCCTAGTAGTAAGTGCACACATTGGGGTGGGGAGGAGAAGAGGACATGACACTTTGATTGATTTACCTCAGCGTTGTGTGTATTTTTTTGCCTTTTGTACGCGAAGGAGAAATCCCCCCCCCCCTCCACAGATGACGCGTGTGCGTTGCTAGGGGCAACACCCGGGCAGCTTTAGGACTCGCGGAGCGGCGCGAGGAAATAATTAAATAAAAATGAGCACTTTATTATTTATTGAACTACTTTAAAGTTGACGGATGGGAAAATGGAATAGCGCTGGCTCACCACGGGGCTTATGGCATGGCACCTGGATACTTTTTTTTAAAAAAAATACATAAACCCCATGGTTTGCGAGCCAAATCCTTCGCAAGTTGTGTCCATACAGACAGACGGACAGACAGGCAGACAAAAAATTACGTTTATAGGTAAGATAAACCACTCCTTAATAACGCTATATGGTTGCATTTTTACATTGTCTTTGTAGAATAGCTGCAAGCTTAATAAAAAATATATAATGCAGCCTTCTCAATTCACAACCTGGCACAACACATGGTGTGTGATCAGCACCCTGCAGCAGATGGGGCCTTGTGAAAACTCTCTCCGATATATGACGCCATCATCCCTTTACAACTTCAACAAACTACCAATGGCAAAATGCACTCAAACACTGCATTTAAACATTGCTGGTGGCTGTTTGCTTAGTAACTTGGCATTTTAAATAATACACTTTTGTGTTAACTGTAGTCAATACAGGTCAATGCAGGTGATTTGTTTAAAAACGGCTTTGTTGGCATAGTGCAGTAATCTGCACTTAATTGTTATTTTAAATGTTGTAATGATGAAGTTACAGTGCATAGATATTTGCATAAAATTAGTGACAAGTATTAGAGTTATGCCAAGCTTATTTATTGCACCATGATATGAGAGCCAATCTGAACCATGAGAACATAACGGAAGTAAAACATGTATATATCTTGGTTTTTCTTTGGCATGTTATGTTTTGTGTTTCTATCCGTAGAATCTTCAACCATGCGGGTGAAATCGTCATTTTCTGTATTTGTCTACCTGCTTGTCTTTTTGTTCATAGTTTACACGCCACATCAAAAAAGCTGAAGGACAGAAGCTGCAGAAAGTGGAGCTCCATATCTCCGTCCACATAGTACGAATTGTGCAACAGAAGTCCAAGGTAAATGGCTTAAAGAACTTCAGCGTTAGTATAAGCAATAGAGGCTGGATCAGCACACTGCAGTCTCATATTGAATATAAACAAATGCATCATGCGGAGTCCAGCGATTGATAATGAGGTGGTATATAAAATAGTTTCAATATGTGGATAATCATCATGCATCGGCCACCTTCAGGGCATTAATCAATACAGCAAGAAGTTATCCATACAGAGATTGAGTGTAGTTCCCTAACATATGTGGTTTTCTACAAGCACTCAAGTTTCATCCTCAATGCAATATTATTAAACAGATTGGCTACTTCACAGTAATATAAGCAAATAAATTCGTCTTTCATCTTACAGGTATTCTGCACCAATGTTTCACAGCAGCATTTGTTTCACTCAGCAAAGACTGGATTGGTTTCAACCTTTTGACTCTCTTCAGCCAAGTTAGGCCTATTAAACAAGTACCACTGTGTGAAGTGTAAAGTAGAAAGATCCAACTACTTGAGCTATAGGGCCTATTCAGGCTCAAGCACTGTTGCAAAAGATCAAGGGTTGACAAGCAAAAAACTACATGTATTTAAAATAACATAACAAAAGGCAATCTAATGACAACGAAATGTAATATTTTTCAGCCCATCTGGAAAGCCCATAGGCTGATGGACTGAAACAATATTTGTAAACAATTATGCAGATAAATGGACTTTATGTATTTCTTCCTCTATATGATCCTCTGAACCAGCCTCTAATATACGTCCAGTCCATATATACATAAATAAATAAATGCATCCATGCCACATATACGCATTTAAGTGTCAGGATAGCCGAGTGATCATCATCTTCATCACCGAGTGAGTTTGTATTAGTAAGATTGACAAAATATAGCAACTGATCTCTTGTGCATTCTACTGGAATGTAGATATTCTTTGGGTCTTTCAGTAAAGTAACGTAGATAGGTTCAAAGAAAATAACAAAAACTACGACGTTTCGATCGCAACGCAAGCGGTCAACATCAGGAAAAGGGGGTTAGCCTCTAAAAGCAAACTGTTTATAAAGGTTTGAAATGGACCGTAGCCCAAGTGTCAGCAGCATGGGCGGGATAGCTAATGTTAATGTGAGTGATGGTACTCGTAGAGGACAATGATGGCGCTGGTGGTGGGTTTCCACCAATTAAAGAGCTGCCAAGTAATCATTGCATCTCGCTTTACACACTCACACTGTTGACGGTGGAGGTTGCTGCTAGAGGTGATGGCACTCATAGAGGGCCACGGCGGCACTGGTGGTGGGCTTCCACCAATACAGGGCTACTGCTCGTGGTGATGGTTGTAGTGGGCAGTGATGGTCCTGGTGGTGGGCTTCCACCAATAAAGGGCTACTGCTAGTGGTGATGGTAATAGTGGGCAGTGATGGTCCTGGTAGTGGGCTTCCACCAATAAAGGGCTACTGCTAGTGGTGATGGTATTAGTGGGCAGTGATGGTCCTGGTTGTCGGCTTCTACCAATAAAGGGCTACTGCGAGTGGTGATAGTAGTATTGGGCAGTTATGGTCCTGGTGGTGGGCTTCCACCAATTAAAGGGCTGCCAGGTCTATAATGGAAACATTACACCCAGTTATGACTTAAACTGGTTGATAACATCCTTCCAGTGATTGCTGAGTTTGTACCCATCTTTTCGGTTGAAATTGTGTCTGTGTCTCTATATATAAAAGCTTCATGAACGAATCTTTGTTGAAAGCCAGTGGGTTTGCAAAGTACCTTCGTCTTAGAGAAATCAATTTCGTGTGAGCCCAATGCATTGAAACAATGATCAGCCACGGCCGAGGTATTGGTCCTACCGTGTTTCATATCTGCCTTATGTTCACGAACACGGTCTGAGACCTGTCTCTTAGTTTCTCCAATGTAACTACTGCCGCAAACACAGCTTAGTTTGTAGATGTTGGGGTATTGCATGTCAGGGATCACATCCTTCACAGATGGGCTCAGATCACGAATTGTATGTACTGTGTTAAATCGAACCTGGATCTTGTGTTTGCTCATCATTTTGGAAATCTTTTTGGTGACCCCTGCTATATATGGCAAGGTGATGCTTTTGATTGGGTCCTCAGATGGTTCTTTCCCACTGGTTGAGGTGTGTGGATGGAATGTGGATGTTTTAAATCAATCCCAGGGCATTGTGTAGAAGCATTAAACCCCAGATTTCTAAGATCCAAGATTTTTTTTTTTTAAAGTGTGTGCAACCAAATAAACAGAATACCGATTATTTTTATCTACTTTATGGTTCTTTCGATAAAGTCACGTAGAAAGAAAATTAATTAAATAATTATGGAATACGACGTTTCGATTGTAACACATAAGATTTATCTTGTCTGTCCCTTTGGGATATAATGGTTAACTTGCGGTTGTATGTTTATGCATGAAATTGATTTTGCTTTGCAGTACAGTAATTGTTCAAACCCTTAAGATTACAATCAATGCTGGACAAAGGTGTTTTTTTTTAAACGTAAAAGGTGCATAATTTTTTTCTGAATGTGATGCATAAAGGCAAATTGATTTTACAAAGTACAAACCGGATCTGACAAGGTGAGGTGAGGTGATATGAGGTGAGCAGTAATGAGGCTGAGTAGAGTAAGCCTCTGCAGGTTCAGCCCATAATAATACTAATACATTTTATTTGTGAGTGCTTTTCTGAATACTCAAAGACACTTTACATAAAATTATAAAAGCAGCAAAAACAACATCAAATGGTAAAAACACTAAAAACACATCAAACTTAGCTAAACATTAAAAGCAATTTTAAAAAGGTAAGTTTTAGTCAATGATTTGAACGCTGGAAGGTCGGTGCAGTCACGGATTTGTTTTGGGAGAGAGTTCCAAAGTGAGGGGGCAGCTATAGAGAAGGCTCTGTCGCCCCAGGTTCGATGCTTGGTCCTGAGAGATGGAGTCAGGAGGTTAGCGTCAGATGAGCGAAGGCTATGGGATGGGTTGTGGCAGTGGAGCAGGTCAGTGAGGTAGGAAGGGGCCCAGTTACGAAGGGCTTCATGTGTGAGGAGGAGGATTTTGAATTGAATTTGTTGTGGGACCGGGAGCCAATGCAGGTTCTGGAGGACAGGGGTAATGTGGTCACCGGTGCGGGTGTGAGTGAGCAGACGAGCAGCAGAGTTCTGGATGTACTGGAGTTTATTTAGTGTTTTGGTTGAGGTGCCGTATAGGATGCTGTTGCAGTAATCGATTCTGGAGGTGATGAAGGCGTGGACGAGGGTTTCTGCAGCGGAGAAAGAGAGTGATGGGCGAAGTCTGGATATGTTTTGAGGTGAAAAAGGCAGTTCTGGTGATTTGTTTTACGTGGTGTTCAAAGGAGAGGTGATTGTCAAAAATGACTCCAAGGTTGGGACTTTGAAGGAATGGAGACAGGGTGAAGGTGTCGACAGTGACGGAGAAACTGCGAATGGATTTAGTGATGGATTTGGGGCCGATGATGATCATATCTGTTTTGTCGCAGTTAAGTTTAAGGAAATTGGTGTGCATCCACAATTTAATGTCAGCGAGGCAGTTAGAGAGAATGGAGTGGGTGGCGGAGGTGATGGATTTGGTGGAGATGTAGAGCTGGACATCATCGGCATAGCAGTGAAAGTTAAGACCATGGTGGCGAATGACGTTGCAAAGGGGAAGCAGGTATAGTATGAAGAGCAAAGGACCAAGCACCGAGCCCTGGGGGACACCTTGGAACAACGGAGCGGTGGAGGAGGTGCGGTTGTTGATGTGGATGAACTGTTGTCTGTCGGTGAGATAAGATTGGAGCCAGGAGAGGGCAGTGCCAGTCATGTTGAAGGAAGATTTGAGGTTAGAGAGAAGAATGGTGTGGTTGATAGTGTCAAAAGCTGAAGTGAGGTCCAGGAGGATGAGGATGCTGAGGTAACCAGAGTCTGCGGAGAGGAGGATGTCGTTGGTAACTCTGAGGAGGGCTGTTTCAGTGCTGTGTTGTGAACGGAAGCCGGATTGAAATGGTTCGAACAGGTCATTTGAGGAGAGGTGGGTTTTGAGTTGTTTGGTGACAGTGCGTTCCAGTATCTTAGACAGAAAGGGGAGATTGGAAGTGGGCTGAAAGTTTGACATAATGTTGGGGTCAAGTCCAGGTTTTTTGAGAATGGGGGTGACAGCAGCCAGTTTGAGTGAACGTGGGATTGAGCCAGAGCTGAGAGAGGAGTTAATGATTTTTGTGATGAGTGTGGAGATAGCTGGTAAAACAGTCTTTCATGAGGTGGGATGGGATGGGGTCCAGGACACATGTTGATGTTTTCATCCCTGTCAAGATTTTAGACAGCTCCCCCGGAGACACTGGGGAGAACTGAGACAGTGGCTGAGAGGTGTGCTGGGGGGGAACAAATGATGGAATGACAGAGCAGACAGTGGTGGCAGAAGAAGAGAACAGGTTGGTGTAAATGGTGTCAATTTTGGTCTGAAAGAATGATAGAAAGGTGTTGCATTTATCAGTTGTGAATGAGTTGACGATATTGTCACTGGGTTTGAGAAGGTTATTTACCGTGTAGAAAAGAGCCTTCGGGTTGGTAGAACCAGAATGTATGAGGTGTGAGTAGTAGGTGGACCGGGTAGTGTTAAGAGCTTCCTTTCTACTGCTGAAGGTAATCTGTGTAAGCTTGTAGATGAACAGTTAAACCAGTTTTCTTATGGAGCCTTTCAAGCTGACGCTTACGGGATTTCATTTTGTGCAGAATGGGAGTGTATCAGGGAGCAGAGTGAGTAAATGAGACAGATGATCAAGACTGGTGGAAAGTTTTTCATTGTAGTAGTTGGTGAGGTCGGAAGGGTTTTCAGTCACGGGTGGGGGGGAGGAGGATATTTTGCTGGCAAGAGAGGCTGAAAGGGCAGGACTAGAGATGGATTTAAGATTTCTGAAAGAAATTGTCCTTTTGTCCTTGGTTGTAGAAATGGGGAGATCAATGTTCATGGTGATTGCCAGGTGGTCTGAGATGTTGTGACCACGGCTGTGGGTTGGAAAGTT